CGTTTGTTATAATCAAATTCCATTATTGCTTTTTTATCAACATAATCCTTTCATGTACTTTTAACACATTAAATCATATTTTAAGATTTTGGCAGTTAAGAGTCAGGATTTGTCATGGATTTTAATTTTGTGTATGTAAATATATATATATATATATATATATATATATATATATATATATATATATATATATATATATATATATATATATATATATATATATATTATTATTATTATTATTATATAAACATCAATAAATACGATTTTCTCTCAATACTAAATTTATTTTTTATTTTTTAAAGAAATTTTCGCTGGATTGTTGTGACCAGCGTCTTCAGCTTAAAAGATTTTTGTTTGTTTTTGCTTATGTGTTATTTTTAAACGGCAATTCTATTATATGTCAATGGGATGGTTAAGTCTTTTCCTGACATAAGTGCGTTAGAAATGGTGTCCAGAATTTTGTTGACACATATTGTCCTTCATCTAAATTGATATCATTTTGTTGAGGGGCACATCAGGGGCGCCTTACGAACTTTCCTATCAAACTTTTTGTTATTGACTTTTAGAGTTCTGCAACTATCCCAGTTAATTTGTTGTGCACAATGTTTCATGTGTTTGGCTAATGCTGATTGTTCTGTTTTATTTCCTATTGTACTGTTTTTGTGTTGTTACATGCGTGTTTTTATTTGCATTTTTGTTTCACCTATATACTTTTTTGTTACAATGGCACTTAATAAGGTAAACTCCTGGGTGGCTGTTCCTTTGTAGTTTGGATTTATTTCTTGATGTCAATATTGCTTCTAGATTCAAGTTTGATTTGAAGACCATTTTATATCCTGCCTTCCTAAACACCTTACACAATTTGGGAGACAATATTGGTATCCAAGGTAATCAAATATATATATATATATATATATATATATATATATATATATATATATATATATATATATATATATATATATACAAGCCTTCCCAGGAAAGGCGTGCGGATTTTTGTCTCGTACGACTACGAAAACGTTATTTAAGTTAGAGAATGTGATCATGGCCTTTTGAGCAAGTTATATTATATGCGTTACTAAAAAATTGTTTTAAATTTAATAACTACATATGAAATTAAAGTAAACTTAAATAGAAAACAATAATAATATATAAATAATTTGTGTTGTTTTAATTTTTGTTTTTTCTTAGTGGTTATTATTATCGGCAACAAAATTCATTAAGCCAAAGCAAAAAAAAACAAAACAAAAAAACGGATTTAGGCATTGAAAAGGACGACTTTCCCATATTTTATGCGTTTTTTCTTTTAAAGAGGAAAGATAATATATGTATCGCCATCTGTTTGTAAAATATATTTGTATAATTATAATGTAACAAGTTTATATCAAGAGTTAAATTATACGATCACGATTTGCAAACTCTGGTAAAATATTAGGTCTTTAAAATTTTAGTTCATGCAAAGCTGTGTACTTTGTTTATAAGGAGCAAATTACTAAAAGTTTGCTAGCGAGAAAGTTACAAAAACAAAACAAAAACAATAAACTTACGACTACAAAAGTAATAACACTTTAGTCACTAACTGCATTATAAAAGTAATAAAACTATAATAGTGTTAATACATTTATAAAGCACTTATTACTTTTAAAGTTCATTCTTTGTTCAAACAACATTATTAATCCAAAACATTTATTAAAGTAGAAAAGCATCTAGAAAAAATAAAGCGGATATTCAAATATTATTAAAAATTTAAGGAGCTTTCACATGTCACTTAAACAACGTTATAAAAAAGAACTTTATAAATAGTATAGCATGATAAATGTTGCGTAAAAACGCACGTTAATTTTAAAATCAACCAATAAAAAAATTTTATTCGTTAATTTTAAAAACGCGCGTTTTTGCGGTCCATTAGTAACGTTTTTCATAATGCTAAACTTTTAATACGATACATTTTTATAAAGTTGTTTGTCATTTTTTTAAAAGTTACTTTAGTTTTAATATTATTTGAACATCCACTTTATCTTTCTAGATATTTTTCTACTTTAACTAAAATTTGGGAATACAAATGTTGCTTGAACAAAGAATGAATTTTAAAAGTTATATGTGCGTTATAAAAGTAATAACACTATTATAGTGTTATTACTTTTGTAATGTAGTTAGTGACTAGAGTGTTATACTTTTGTAATTGTAAGTTTATTATTTTATTTTTTATTTTTTGCTAACAAATTTTAGTTGATTCTTCCCTTAAAAACAAGGAATACGGTTTTGTATAAACGGAAATTTTGAATACTAGATATTTTTCCAGATTTTGCGTTTCGCACTTGCTTAATTCAACCCTTGTTGTTACATTAAAATTATACAAATAAATTTTACAAACACATTGCAATTTGTATTTTTGCTATCCACTTAAAAAAAAAATAAGAAAAGGAAAATCATTCTTTTTATTGTAGACTTCAAACTGCTTTTTTTTTTGCTTCACCTTATCTAATTTTGTTGCTGAATGTAACAACCACTCTAAAGAAACAAAAATAAATATAGTACACAAGTTATTTAAATTATTAATTTGTTTTTATTTTTTTCTATTTTTATCTCTTTTTATTTTGTTAGTTTTGTTTTTTTTGTTTTTGAAACTTTTTCAGCATTATTATAAAACTTGAAAATGGCCGTGTTCACGTTTTCTAAAATAATATAATCGTGTGTGGTTATACGAGACGAAAAACCGCACACCTTTCCTGGGATATTTATATATATATATATATATATATATATATATATATATATATATATATATATATATATATATATATATATATATATATATATATATATATATATATATATATATATATATATACACACACAGACACACACACACACACACACACATATATATAGATATTTTGCGAACATTTCTAAAATGCACAAAAAGAGCTTAACTTTTTAGGGGTCGTCCATGAAGTACTTTTTTTTTTCAATGAAAAAATTTATTGAAAAAAAAAGGTGGAGGAGGTACCTTAGATCCTAATTTAAAAAACGTCTTCATATATATATGTTAATATTAACTTTAATAAAGTTAAATTACACATTCTTAATGTGTTCGCTTGGACAAGAGGATAATGCTTTGGACTGCGGCAATGGAGATTGATGTTCGATTCCCGGTTGAGTCATATTGTACTTTTTTTGTTTTAATGATGAATCAAATAAAAATAAACTATACTTAAGGTGGACATTTTTTTCAGGCACCTCTCTTTAGTAAGTCTGTAAAAAATGAATCCTACGCGAGATCAGTATATCGAAAACAAAACCTAAAACCCAGTGCTGAGGATAGGCTACCCAAAAATTTGAGGTGGATGGAGGAGGAGGAGGTGGGGGGGGGGGGGGGAGGATGGGGGAAGAAAATTTTGTTCCTATTTGCTAATTTAAGCTTTTTATTTTAACAAAACCTAGCGATAAAATTTGGGAGATTTCGAGACCCAAATGACACTTTTTTTTTTGGGTTAACTTAAAAATATTGTGAAAGTGCCCTATCTGGAACATCAAAAAATCATGCGAGCCCCCATGCATGTGTGTGCATTGAGGGAAACTATACCCTCTACTCCCTATACCAAACATCTTTTTATGTTAGCAAACTAGGATCTTTAGTCAGAATTTTAACTTTTCTATTGATTAGCTGGCTAATTGTGATAAATTAAAAAATCAATGTATGTACTTTTATATTGACCCCCCCCCAACACTTTCATACGCTTTTTGAAGACCTCCCCCCTCCCCCTATGAGCGTACATACTTTATGGACAACCCTTAGACAAAAGACAATTACAAAAAAACTTTAATCAAAAAATTATAACTGTATGAGAATATTTTAATAAATTATGTTTATAACTACATTTAAAATAAACAACTTTGAAACTTTGATCTTTTTTAATGTTTTTATAAAATAAGCGACACTATTTTATATAAAGTAACAACTTTTAACGATATTTTAATATAGAAACAAATGTAACATTTTGTTTTAGTTATCATAGAGTATTATATAACTTTTTTTATTTTTACAAGATTCTTATAAAATAAAATTTATTTCAACAAGATTCAAATGAAACAATACTACTGATATCGTATATTGAGTTTTTTAATTGTCTTGGTCAACCTCTGGTTCACCTGTAGGTGAATCAGTATCTAAGTATGTTTATGTTCTGTTTGAACTTCTGGCATGATCTTCAGTCGCCCATAAGTTGTTGCATGTTTATTAGATTATTAGTTTTATTAACTTAAATAATTACTAAAAATATTTTGTTGCTAACAAAATTTTTGTTTAAAGTCTTATTATTTATAAAATTAATTATACAAATTGATTTAAGAAATTTAAATTTATAATAAAAAATACATACTATTTGAATAAAGTAAAATTAATTTATTTACAAATAATCTTTATATAATTATACAATATATCATTTTAAATTTATATAATTTACTAATCTTTATATAATTTAGTAATAAAATTTATTATATATAAACTTTACAAAACTTTGATAACTTAAAAAAAATATATATACATTTTTATTTTTGTTAACAACCAACTATAGTAAATTGTTTTATTAAAACCGCTTTGCTAATATAAAAACATTTGATAGAAAAGATCAAAGTTTGTGAATTCTTTTTGCACGTATTTAAAATTCATTTTTATTCAGAGATACATGGAAATACACATAAACTTGAATTTTCTAGAAAAATCTGACCAGCCAAAGTCAAATTGCTGCAACAAAATATTATAAGCCTGGTCAGACATAACATTCGCCATTCCCCACCAAGCCTTTATATATATATATATATATATATATATATATATATATATATATATATATATATATATATATATATATATATATATATATATATATATATATATATATATATATATATATATATATATATATATATAAATTTTTTATACAAAAAAAAAAAAAAAAAAAAACTCAACTAAAATTTATAAAATGAAAAAAAATTACCAGCTTAACTTCTCCAAATGCACCACGACCTATGACTTTAATCTCATTAAAATCTTTTAAATTGATACGAGATTTTGCAATTTCTTCTGCAGCAGAAGCATCTTAAGTGAACAAATTTTAAATTTAACCAAATATAATCCATTCAAGCTAGACAATCAGCTTTAAAAATATTTACATTACTTATTTAAAGATATAAAAAGTTATTTTTCTGTTGTTACTCACACATGTGAGAATTAAGTACAGAGAATAAAATAATAGGTTAACTTTCAACATCAAAAACTTTCCTATTTCCAATAAAATAATTTCAATAAATAAAAAATTCAAAACATTACTATAAATTTTTTTTTTTTGATACAAGCTTTTAAATGTAACTCAAATGTAATGTCACATTTTTTTATTTTTTTATTAACATATTAAAATATTGCGGGGACACAAAGCTACTGCATAGACAAACGTGCTGAGTTATATCTGTTATTTCACTTGATACCCGCAAAGTTACATAATTTTTACCCAATTGACCCTGTAAAACTTGAATGAACTTTGATGAACTCATTGGTTTTATCTACGTCTCAAAAAAGGACATCCAGCATGACCCTTGATTAAATCCAAAAAACTTGCTAGAGATCACATCTTTCAGTTAGAATTTGCATGCAAAACATTTTTAATACACAACTACAGTCTGGAGCTAATTTAAATCTGCATACTGTAATTTGATAATATTCTACTACACATAATTCAGATACACATTTAACTACACATAGCTACATTTACTTTGTTAATGCCAGCTTTAATAGTACAATTAAAATCCCTTTAATTTATTTATAATGCTGATGATCAATTACCTACTAATAATTTAAATATATATAATTTATATATTAATAATTTATTATAATAACTGCAATCATAACAAACTCTAAATAAAGATCTTAAGATGACTTTTTACCTCCGCTATCCCCTATCCCTTCACCAAACTCTGTACAAAGTGAAAATTATAACGAACTTGAAATAGTGAAAATTATAGTGAACTTTTCATGCATACACAAAAAAAAAAGAATATAAAATATAACAAAAATAATAAACTAACAGCGTTTCAAAAAGTTTTCAAAGTTTTTTTCACTGCGGATATGAGATGACGTGCAATCATAGTACAATGATGTGACAGAATCCTAAAAAAATTACATTTAAGATAAAATACATTTATATTTTAATAAATTGAAATTATTTAATAATTTTTATTTATATAAATATTATACAAACAATAAGTAACACTAAAATATATGTGTATATATATATATATATATATATATATATATATATATATATGTATATATATATATATGTGTGTGTATATATATATATATGTGTGTGTGTGTGTGTGTGTGTGTGTGTGTGTGTGTGTGTGTGTGTGTGTATATATATATATATATATACATATATATATATATATATATATATATATATATATATATATATATATATATATATATATATATATATATATATATATATATGTATATATATGTGTGTGTGTGTGTATATATATATATATATATATATATATATATATATATATATATATATATATATATATATATATATATATATATATATATATATATATATATATATATATATATATATATATATATATATAGCATCCTAGTTGGCGACTTTTGGGGACATGTTATTTTTGTCCCCATTCTGTTGTTTTTTTTTACTTTTTTTATACTATTTTTATCATATTTATATATATTTTTTAATTTTCATTTTATTTTCATTTTTATTTATACATATTTAAATTTATTATTTTATTATGAAAATATATTTTTTATATTAATTTTGGTTATTTTTATTTATTTATTTTATATTATATTTCATTTTTATCTTCATCTATTTAAAAAAACGATTAATTACAATAATATAACCAAATTTAAACCTTGCCGTAACCCTAACCCTAAGCCGAACCAAACCAAACCCTCAGTTGATGTAGCAGCACTCCCTTGCGAGTCAGGCTATTTGTCAGTCGATGTATGTACTTTTTGTTCTCTATAAAAGTTTCTTACAGGTACATTTTTTTTCAAAAAAAGTTATGCTTGCGGGGACAAAAAATTAACGGGTACATCTCGGGATGTTTAACACATCTGCAAAGCCGTAATCTTATAAACTATTATTATTTGTTTACAAAATAAATGTTTTAAATATATATTATTTAAATTGCCAAAATTTTGAAAGTTTATTATAAATTATAGATTTTATTAATATATTCTTATTTTTTATTTAAAAAGTATGTATTTTTTATGTAAATGTAATTTTGTGTATCTGTTTTTTATCGTAATGTAATCTTTTAAAGCAATTTTTATGATTTAATTTGTAAACAAAGACTCACAAAAATAATTGTGTTTTCAATGAAGTTATTAATAATCATTAAAGTTAATAAAACTTATTATGTAACAAACATATAAGAAGTTTCTGGTTACTAAACACAAACAATGTATACAAAGTAACTTGCGGATGATCAAGCATCATGCCTGAGGTGACGACAGAACACAAATATATAAAGCAAGTTACTAGAAAAGTTTCTAGATATTGGTTAACTCTACTTATTTTCGCTTAAGTTGCCATTAAGTTGCGCTTAAGTTGCCTTAAAAACTCGTTATACTTTTTTCTGCTTTAAATACTAATTAAAATTAAAAAGCCCACTCACAGCGATATTGTGAAGCAGTTTTGCTTCCTCATCAAAAAGTATTTTTAACCTTTTTAGTAGATTTCTATCTAATTAATTTAATTTCTATAGTAATTCAATGATTTAATTATTTCATTTGTTTATCTTACTAATAAGAATTGTTTCAAATATTTTAAACTTTTTTTAAACTACGCGAAACATAAAATAGGTATTAAAAAAATTAACTTTTTTATTTATAAAATAATTTAGCTTAGACAAAACTAAAACTTGCAAACTTTGTTAAATAAAAAACATTTGTTTCCTTTTGAAACAATCATAAGATGTTACTTTATATAAAAAACATTACTTAATTTTATAAAAATTATAAAAGAGCGATGTTTTGAAAATATTTGTTCTAAACGTAATTTATTTTGCATTAAGTTTTTTAGCGTTAAAAGATATTTTATTTTCCTAATTTTTTTTTGCTGTTGTTATTGTTTCTCATCAGTCCAATTAATCTTTTGCGGATTTTTTTTTGCTTTTTGAAATGTTCTCAAAAACAACTAAAAAATCTGGCCAGCTTTTCGCAACTAAATATTATTTCCGTGGTCAGCAATCAAGAGCGATTGCTCCCGCTCTCCGACCAAGCCTGAAAGCGTATAATCCATTGAGGCTTTCAACTATTTTGTCTGATGTTTTTTATGCTAATTTAAATGAATGCTGATTTAAATGCAAGATGTTTTTTTATGCTGATTTAAATGAAGAGTTTGAGTTTTGCGATTTAAAAACAAAGTAAAAAAACAATTTTAGTGATTATCTAAAATATAATTAAGACTAAAATAAATTTTTAACCAAATTAATGTTACTATTTTAGGTCTTACCAAGTCAAACACAAGGAAAAAAACAGCAATGTATTTAGTTTGGATTTATGTTTATAAATCTAAAGGATTTATTTTAAATGGAAACTGCAATTGTGTTGATGGGTATGTTTACTTTAATCAAATGTTTACTTAAGCAACTAAATTTGTTTTTTTTTAATAACATAAACTTTTATTATGATTATTTAGGATTATACTATATTAGAATTATATTAATTAGGATAATTTATATTATAAATAATTTAATTATATTAATTACGATAATTTAATTATAAACAATAATATAATGAAAACTTTTTATAAACTTATGAACAAGTTTTTAATAACTTATGTTTTAGATTTGGATCAGCTTGCAGTCATATCACAGCTCTACTTTTTAAAATTGAAACCTGCATAAGACTTGAAATCGATCAAATTGTTTGTACAAGTTTACAATGTGAATGAAATTGATCTAAAGAGCATGTTAGTCCCACAGCATTAGCAAACATAAATTTTAGCTGCCACCATAAAAAAAGATAAATTGCCCCTACATAATTAACTATCCAAGAATATTGACGAAAATTGTTATTCTAATAAACAATATGCTGGTATTTTAAAGTCCAAGTTTAACAAACTGAAAGAAATAAAACTTGATGCTGCTGTTCTAACAAGTATTGATGAAACTGATTTTTTTTATTCTAGTGAAAATGATACAGCAGTAGAAACTAATGAAATGTGTATCACTGAACCTTTGACATATTTATTCGGACTGAGTTTAACAAACTTATCAAAAGAAGTAAACAACGATTTAAACTTTTTTTGTTATATCCATAAATGTAAAAGAATTACAGTAGTTTTATGAAGTATGTCAGTTGTTAAAAAATGATTATAAAAGTTTTATTAAGAAAATCCTGCAATATAAATCTTGGAATAACAGCTACAAAGTATGGAGCTGAAAATGAAGGTGAAGCTAGAGAAAAATATTTTTGTCAGAATAATATAAAAATTTTAAAATAACTTTGACAGGATTGCATGTCAGTGAAAAATTTCCTGAGATTGATTGAAGTCCTGATGCATTTGTAGAATGCAATTGTCATAGGAAAGGCCTTGAGGAAATTAAATGCCCTTACAAATAAGTGGTTTTAAATATTTAAAGAATGATAAAAAAAATTCCATTCACAACATGGCTCTAATCATGTAATCATAAAAGATATAAACATTTGACCTTGTATTTTCTTTTTGTTAATTCAACTCCTCAATGCCGAGGTCACTTTAGACGAGGAGGCTACTTTATTGTGGTTATAACCCTCTCTCAACTCTGTAACTCCGAAATACGAATCTTGACGAACAAGGCCGCTGCACGGAGAAACAAGTTGAGCGCGGTACTACCAGGGACGTGGTGGGGATCAAACTCAGAACCTCTCGCTTATGAAGCGAGCACTCTACCACTACACCACTACCAGATATAATGCATATTTGGTATTAGTAAAGGTACTAACTATTACCAAATATAAGGTCAAATGTTAATATGTGATTCACTTTGTTATTTATTTAAATGGTCCCCTGATAAATTTTACTATAATGGCTTGTCAAAGATTAAACTATTTTGTGAAGACATGCCTGTTAAGTTAAGTAATGACACATTTTAACATTTAATTCAAACTCTGCTTATATACTATAAGATTTTTTTCATATTTGTTAAAATTGTATATTTTAAAGAGATGCTTAGAAACCTAATAAATACTTATTGTTCAGAAAAGATTTATCTGCATTTATGCTGTAAGCAAAACTTTTAATTCCACAATTATAGAATGATAAGAAAGTGGGAAATTATTTAAAAGCAATTTACTTTACCATCGAAAATCTCATATTTTTTAACAATCTTTAAAATTTGTATAAACAGAGTAAATTTTTTCTTATTTTTATTATTTACTCTATTAATTATATTACTAATATTAAAATTAGATATTCAAAAATAATATTAATAAAAAATGGGTAGCTAGATATAGATAACTACCAATTTTGTTAAGAAGAACTTATTTCAACAAATAAAAAAAAATCCATTAAAGGATTAGATCCAGCTGCCAAGAGCAAATGAAGTAAGAAAAAACTTAACAAAGTTAAATAAAATTATAAAATAAAACAAAATATGTTGAACAGATGTTTAGAACAAAATATAAGCACTATATAAATGATTGTAATAAAAATAAAAAATAACATGCACGCAATAAAAAAACTTTTGAACAAAATGAAAACGCCAACTTTAACCATATAATAATGCAAAAGCAGCAATTAATATTGTTTATTTGATTCAGACAACAAGTACAATACAAGGTTCATTGTTAAGATAAATAAAATAAATTATTAATTTTGTTTATTATATACACACTATATACTCTATTTCTCTAGTTTTATCTGATAATTTATCAAATGAATTAAAATAATAAACTTTAAATCATAATTTAATAATAATAATAATATTAATAATATTGTTTTATAACTAGATTTTATATCATAAATTAAAGACCAATAAAAATATTTTTTATTGAATTCAATTCAATTGAGTTTTGTGATTAAAACAGAGTTTATGAAGCATTTCCAGATTTCACAATTCATACATTTTCACTTAATGAATTTTACTAAATGTATTTAACAATTTTAGTACAATTTTAGACAGTACAATTTAAATAATATCATTGGCATATGCTAAAAAATTAATAAAAACAATATGGAATTCTTTAACCATAATGATAATGACTTCAAATAATAAGGACAATTTATATATATATATATATATATATATATATATATATATATATATATATATATATATATATACACACATATATATATATATATATATATATATATATATATATGTATATATATATACATATATATATATATACATATATATAAATACATATATACATATATATATATATACATATATATAAATACATATATACATTTATATATAAATATATATATATATACATTTATATATATATACATATATATATATATATATATATATATATATATATATATATATATATATATATATATATATATATATATTGCTGTCCCATGCCAAACCCTCAGTCAATATAGTGGCACTCTTTTAAGCAGCAGGCTATTATTTTGTATATATGTTGTAGTAGATTATTAGCTCTGCCTGAATTATTAGATCCAATTTCATAAAACTCAAAACGAGGATGCGTTTTCTAACTATTATCTCTAGAATTGCTTCTTTGAGTCCGAACATAAGTATTAAAAACAAAAGACAAAAAATAGAAGTAAAATTAGTTTGAACTTGTAAATTTGTCATTTTCAGATTATTAAAACACCTAATAAATGTATTTGGTAATCTTGTAAATAACAAATTTACAAATTTCTTATTCACATGCCATTATAGAAGTTTTAAGTTTTATACAATGGGATCTAATAATCTACTACTATAGTAGATTATTAGGTCCGCCTAAATTATTAGATCGGTCTGAATTAATAAATACATGCAAGTTTTCTGCAATGGGATCGAATAAATTAGTAAGATCAAATAATCTACTAGTTCAGCAGTATAGTAGTCATTACTTATTTAGAAATACTACAACCCCCATCTATTTTGTATTTTGGCATTTAAAATAGATAAATAATATTCTAAATTATATACTGTTTTAAACATATATAGTATAAAACATACAATACATATACATATATCTATATACATATTTTGCATGTTACATATAATATATACATAATATTGAATATACATATATTATATGTATGTATATATGCATACATAAATATATATATAAATATATACATATATATTGCATGTTTTATATATGTAAAATACTTTTATATGTATTTGGTATATGGAAATAAAATTGAAACACTTCTTCTTTATTTCTTACACTCTGTTTGGACTCAAATAAACAATTCTAAATACAATAGTTAGAAAACGCATCCTTTTGAATTTTATGCAATAAGAACTTATAACTCAGGTGGAGCTAATAATCTACTACAATGTTCAAGGTATAATACTAATTTAGAGTAATTTAGAGTATTATATATATATATATATATATATATATATATATATATATATATATATATATATATATATATATATATATATATATATATATATATATATAAATGCATGTTTAAACATTCTGATATCACTCTGTTTATCATATATATATATATATATATATATATATATATATATATATATATATATATATATATATATATATATATATATATATATATATATATATATATATATATATATATATATATATATATATATATATATATATATATATATATATATATTTATATATATATATTTATATATATATGTATATATATAAATATATATATATATATATATATATATATATATATATATATATATATATATATATATATATTAGAGATGTGCCGGAACCAGTTTATGTCGTCTCCGATTCTGGGTATCCGGCTAAAAAAACCGGGTCCGAGTCCGGGTACTCGGCACAGAGTCCATTTTTTAAAAGTTAGAATAAAAACTTGGCAAAATTATCTTGTGTTCTAACAGAATAAAAAGAAGCTATTTTAAAACTTTTTTTCCCATTCTTTTTATTTGTATTCTCAAATTATTTCATTTTGCGTTACAGTTTTTGTACCCGTATAAATTTTTTGCAAAAACGTATTAAAAAATATTTTAAGTGAGATTGTTTTAAGTTAATAGAACTTTGTGGTTATCGACTACATAACACTCTTAGACTTATATCAAGAAGTTTAATGGTTAAAGTTTAAACTAAAGGAAAAATCAGTTTGAAGATACCCGGTACCGGGTACTGCAACAAAATGGCCGATACCATGTACCCGGTAAAACAGCCGAATTGCTGGGTCCCCGGGTCCGAACCGGGTACCCGGCACATAACTAATATATATATATATATAATTTTTAATAATAAATTTTTAATTGTTTAAGAGAATTTGTATTATTTGATGTTTTGTTACTAATATAACATAAACTCTTATACACTAAAGTGCCAAAACACACATAGTTATATATATATATATATATATATATATATATATATATATATATATATATATATACATATATATATATATATTCATATATATGTATATATATATATATATATATATATATATATATATATATATATATATATATATATATATATATATATATATATATATACATATATATATACACACACACACACACACACACACACACACACACACACACTCACACACACACAAACATGCATACACACATGCTAAAACATAAGTCAAAGGTTTACTAAGAGGTTGGGAGTTAGCAGATATTTGTATTAGGAAGATCTTTATAACAAAAAAAAAGAGAAAAAAAAACCTCTTAAAATTTAAATGCACATAATCAATAACAGATAAAACAAAATTTTATTGAAAATGATGAAATTTTGTTGATAAAATACATATTATTAATTTTAAAGTGTAATTACTACTGCTTTAAATAATTTAAAAGCAGTTTTTTAAACTACTTACTAATAACCCTTCGATATATAGTTCATCAGTTGGTTTACATAGCTTTTCAGATAGACTTTGATAACGTTTCTCAAGCCCAGTCATTTTGGAAATAATATAGGTTTTACCATATATTCTTTAGTTTTACAAAAAAAACCTGAGCTGACGGCAATCCAAAAAATATCAAAATCTACTATTATAAAACATTTCTATAACAACCAAAGCTTTTTAAACTAAGGTTTCTTGTAAAAGCCATTAAAACGGTACTGTTTCTTATTTTGGACATTTTTTCCCTTCATGTTTTTTTTTTTTAGCGGAGATAAAATAAAAACACAACGACCATGCTACGGAAGGTTGGTATTGACTAGGGGTGTCCACGGGTACCCGGGTTACGGGTCTAGTGACTGAAATCGGAAAATATTTTTATTCAATTAGCACCGTTTATTTGCAAGTTATTCTGGATTTAATAATGAATCGCGGTAGTACAGCTGTAAAATAAAGTACTGGAATATAAGCAAATTAGGATTATTAACGAATTATAAGGAAAACCGGTACTCCGATTTCAGAACCGATTACCCGGATGTTTAATACACGCCCTCAGATCTAAATAACCGCTGGTTGATTTTTGTGATTAATAGTCTTGATTTTATGTAAGTAAATATGTGAACAAAAAACATTTATTTTTTTAATTTTGCCTACATTAATATGTCACAGTACAATTAAAAATGACACATATATATCGGGTTACAATTAAAATTGTTACAGCATTTATTAACATAATTAAATTAAAAAACAACACAAAACAAAAAAAACAATACATATACATATATAATTAGCGCGCATATATACATATGTATATACATAACATACGCCCATACATAAACTGCTAACTGCTAAGATCTAAAAGAGGATCACAAAATCTTGTCGTCAGAACCTTGTAAAACACAAACAAGCAAAATAAAGACAAATATAAAAAATTAAAAAATAAATAAATAAAGTATTAAAATTCAAGTTATATAACAATTTTCATTATATTAGAAGTATCTGAGTAGTAAGTAAAATATTTTTATTGGTTTATTACTGCTAATTTTTTATTTTTTTTTACCAGAACACTAAATAAATATAAATTTACATTGAAAGTATTTCTAGATCACATGACTTTATTAGGAAGCCATTCATAATCTATATCACAAATTCAAAAATTTTTGGTTCATTTAAAAAAATAATCATTTAAAAAAAGATTGTATTTATTTTAGGGTTTTAATTTATAAAGATTTATAAATACACTAGGAGAAAAATTTTCATTACATTTACGAATAAAAAATTAAAAACATTTAGTTCGTAAATATTCAAAATTTCATTTCTTAAAAATGTAGAGTTGTTTTCGAAATTTGTAAAATTAATTGTGCGAGTTTCGTGTTTTACCCCCAAAACTCCCCCCTCCTCCTCCCCAGTCGCTTTAATACCAAAAAATTCTCGATCCGCCACTGGTAAGAGCTTCCCCAAATGACATTTACATAATTTTTATGAAAATGAGTTAATGAATATTGTGCTAATTGGTGTTTATTCAACTCAAGCGTTATATAGTATTCCATTGCTTTTAACAATTTTCATAGAAATAGTATTGATTTGTTGTACCATGAGTCCTATCAATTTTTATAACTTTATCTCTTTTTAAAATTGCAAATAAAATGATCAGACGGGTATTCCTAAGTCTCTGTTTTTTACGTTGTCTCTTTTTTTAGAGGTTGGGTAAAAAGAATCAATTTATTTTTTTTACAGTTTAACGTTATGCATTTTGTTTAATCAAGTATTGCATAGGAGTATTGCATAAAGCTAAACGGTCTTTTCTAATAATTATTTTTGTTATTTTTTACTTGTTTGTATTTACGCTTTTATTTGTACTACTGTTAAGTTACATATTTGTACAGAATTTTTATTCATTAAAAAAATAATTTTAATCAAAATTAAATAGCTGTTTAAACATAACATATTATAGTGTATTCAATAGGGAAGTTCAAGTAAAATATATATATACCTATATATATATATATATATATATATATATATATATATATATATATATATATATATATATATATATATATATATATATATATATATATATATATATATATATATATATATATATATATATATATATATATATATATATATATATATATATATATATATATATATATATATATATATATATATACACACCCAACGGGCATTTGGTTTTAAAAGTTATGTCTTTTAAACGTTTTTTACGTAAGAATGTTTAGAAGAAGTTTAAAAGACATTTAAAATACATTTAGAACGTAACTTTTAAAAACAAATACCCGTAGGGATTGGATTAAAAATATTGAAGTTAAGCATATTTTCAGTCTAAAATCAAGAAAATGAAAGTAAACATCTAATAACCAAAAAAAATCATTCAAGTTTCTTTTTCAAATAAAAATTGAGAAACGGCTAGTCCCAAACGTCTCCAGACATACCAACAAAAAATATGAGAAAATTTTCTTCGCAAAGATAGAATGCCACCTGAACAGACTGATTTCAACGCCAAGTAAACACAAATAATCAGGTGAAATGAAGGTCTTAAATCTGCATGGTTGCTAGATCAGCTATTTTGTTATCCACCACCGCACAGGCCAAATTGTTTATATCAACGTTATTGATTAAATCAGAAATCAATTGCACATTTTCAGCAACAAACGCACTCAATAACCGTCGAATCTAGATCACGTTGTCACATCAACCACAGCAACCAATTTTATTTTAAGCAATACGTGGTACGAGTCTATTAAACTAGGAACAATTAAAGTATTAGTAATACTGACGGTAAAGTAGAGGTACGACCTCTACTCTACCAAGTTATCTACATATTAGTCTATCTCTACTGTTTAAATTATTATTAATGTTAACGAAATGTTAACTCATTTGTTGACATTATCTAAAAAAAATCCACTACAAAATACATACCATCAAGATCAGTTCTATTTAAAAAAAAGATGAATCATAGGTTAGATTTTAAAACCAGATGAATCATAGGTTAGATTTTAAAAATAGATTTTAAAACCAGCAGTAAAAAATAAAACGTAAATTATAGCTCAAATATATAATAGTTTAACCCAAAGTGCCCGCCTACATTTTCATGTTGGGAGCAAACAATGTGTACAGGAACAAGTTTGCAAAAAAAAAGCTTCTAAAAAAGAAAAAATACGCATTATACTAATTATTTTCAAACACTTTTTGTTTGCTTTTAAATAAGAAGAATCTATGATTTTTTTTATCTATGCGCCGTATGTTACATGAGTATGAACTATAAAAAAGATTTAAAGGATTTTTGGAAAACAAAGCTATGGGTTACAACGAAGAACACACTTGCGGAAAGTGTGGAGTTTTCTGGCGTGTAGCTATCACTCTTTGACACAAGTGTAGAGTTATTTTAAATGCTTTTGTGTAAATAACTCCACACTTCTGTGCAAAAGTTAAGTTAGAAAAAGTTAATTTCCACAAAAGTGTGCAAAATAACTCAACACTTGTGTCTAGGAGTGATAGCTACCCGCCGGTGTGTCGGAAAACTCCATACTTTCCGCAAGCGTGTACATTCTTATAAAATGTGCTACACCTTTAATAATCCAAATCACACACAAAAAAAAAACTGCAAGAAATCTATATCTACAGGAAATGTCCTAGATTTATGGAAAAAATATAAGCTGCATCAATTTAAAAAAAAAAAAAGTAAAACTTGAACCATCAATTTACAGACTAATATCACGGATTTCGATAGTTTGCAAGGTCATGGAGAGTTTTATACAGTGAGACCCTGCTTGAATAGATTAAGAAATAGTTGGCTACAAAGAACTTAAAAACTGGTTGGCTACAAAGTGTAGTATTAGACGGATTAACATCGAAGTGAGTCCCAGTGTCTAGCGGTATGGCACAAATTTCGGTTCTTGGTCCACTACTTTTGTCTTAGTAATAAACGATTTTTCAGACACTATACTGTATATATAGTACATTATACTAAATTACATGTTGTTGACAGTAAAATCATTGAAGTCATTACTAGAACGTTACTAGATGTCATCCCATCATTTCATCCTAAACTCGCTACTAGATGTTATCCTTCTTTAAGCTGACATGAATAAAAGTATTGACAAGTGATCACACAAGTGGATTACAACTTTAAACATTGATAAATGTAGAGTAATGCATGTTGGACGTTTTAATAACAAGTCAATACATTCACACAAAATGACACAGTCAGATGGAATCCATTTTACACTTAAAGAACCTCAAGTTGAATAAGTTAATTAAAAAGTTGAATGTGATCATTGTTTCTGATGACTTAAAAGTCAAAACAGCTGTTTTAATTGCAAACCTTACTAGTCAAAAAAAGCTTTTTGTAGCCGCAGATTAGCTATATAAAAAAAATTGTACCTTGCATACATTCGCCCTTCACCTATAATTTGCACTCCAGGTTTAGTCTCCTCACCTAAAAAAAGATATTTCAGTAAATGAGAAAGTTTAAAGACGTGTCACTAAAACCATATTAGCAAAGAAACATCTATCGTATGAGAAGAGCTTGTATATGTTAAAACTTACATCTCTTAAGGATTGCAGATTAAGAGGTAACAAAATACAAAAATTAAAATTTGTTCACAATATTATACAAGTCAATTTTCATTTCCCTCAGACTCTATAAATTTCAACAGCAAAATCCTCCGCAGACACAATCACATTTTATCTCAACTAGTCAAAGGATGCTGGAACGTGAAAACAGCAAAGTACAACCTCCACTGACACAACCATCACATTTTATCTCAACTAGTCAAAGGATGTGCGTGGAGCGTGAAAATTTTCCAAGTAAAGTAACAAAACACTAGAATGTTCTTTCAAAGCAGACAATTAATTCACAATCTGTAAAATTCTTTAAATAGTTTTTATCATAAATTATATCTTTATATTTTAATGTGCTGCTTTATCTGAAGCTTACCAGGGTTGTCCCGAAGAGATCTTTTGCCGATTATTGACTATGAAAATTAAAAGAAATTAAAAAAAAAATTAAAAATCCTGGTTTTCTAAAATTTATAATTTAATTTTAAATTTTTCGTTCGGGAGTCAGACATCCTTTACACCTACCCTCTTAAAGACGCCAAAAAAGATAAATAAACTGTCACAACTAACTACATGAATGAGAACCTGAAAAAAATAAAAGTAAAAAATATTATTCTCTACAATTTTTATTACAAAAGATATTCATTGACATGCGTTTACATATTATAATATGTAATTATAATTG